TGCTTGGGGGGCACCCCCTGAGGGTCTCTGCTGTGCTGTGCACAGCTTGCCATTCTAGCTGCCACTGACCCCTCCCCCGGCACCTGTGCTGTGCAGAAACCATGCAGTTGCATGTGTGGCCCTGCCCTCCCCGGTATTCAATCAGCAGGTGATTACAGATATATCCCCTGTAGGCACAGACAGATTTTTGAAGAGTTGATTGCACACATATTTTATTTCTGCAAACCAGATCCTAGTTTTTAAATGCAACAAGGGAGCCAGCTTTGTAAAGAAATGTTGATTGATGGCCCCTCCTCTGTTTCCCATTTAGGGTTTCTTCTCTTGGCTTTGCTTTAAACAGGCTACACCTGAACACAGTGAGGAGCAAGGCAGTCAGAAGGGTCAGATACTGGGGTTGTGGAGCCTGAGGACCCCAGGACCTCGGCCAGCAGGTGGTGGTGTGTGATGGGGGCCTTGCGTCTGGGGACACCAGGGAAGGCTGCCATCTTGGCCACACAGACTCAGGGGCCTCTGATGGGCCACAAGCCAGGGTCTGCCACAGTCTTGCAGGACAGGGCAGGCAAGGTTTCTTCCCTAACCTACTGAACTGCCTCCTATGGGCTCTCACTTGCCCTCTTGGGGCCTCAGTTTCCACACCTGCAAACTGTGAAGTTGAAGCTATGACAGTCTGCTGCTCAGAAATCCAGCTCGGTGTTCCTCCTACTGGATCTATCTCAGCCCAGTGTCTGAGCCCCTCCACATGCAGCTGGTCCCACCCCCCACAAACTCAGGACCCTCCCCTTGCCTGGAAGATCCTCTCTATCCTTCTGACAGACAGTGTTCGCCGTGCCCATCCTCAAACTCACCTCCCGCAGGAAGCCTGCCCCACGGTCACATTGTGCGGCCCTGCCTGAAACTCCACAGACCTCAGCTATGTCCGCCTTGTCTTGCTGTTGTCCTGTGTGTGTGTCTGTCCTTCTCCACCTCTTCTGAAGTCCTTTCCTTTTTTTTTCAAATCATGCACTTAGTCCTGGACTCCTTAAATGTAGAATCCCAGTCCAGCAGGGGGTTAGAGAGATCACTAAATCTGGTGGTTTTAAAAACAAAAACACAACTTTCCTTTTAAGCTGAAAAACACCTTCCCAAAGGAAAGCTTACAGAGAAGGCAGAACAGCCTGACCGAGGGTGGGGAGAGGCCTGGGTCCTGCCTGCAGCCCCTCCCCCAGGGCCTGGGAGGGAACCTGCTCCTCCCGGTCAGCCCTCTCTGTCACCGAGGGAGATTCTGGAGGACTCTGGGGCCTAGAGTAGCCAAGTCATGATAACGATCCAGCTGACACTTGTAGGGGACTTTAAATTTCAGAAGCATTCCTCTCTTCATCTCCTCCCAGGTGGTCCTCATCTCCATGATATGGGTAAGAAAGACCACATTGTCCCTGCATCACAGCTGAAGAAGTTGAGTCCCAGATGGGCCAGGTGACTCGCCCAAAGTCGCACAGTCAGTGGCAGGACTAGGCTCAGAACTCAGCAGGAGGCTGGAATCTTGCTGAAAGATCCCTCTAGAACTGCAGCTGTGGCTCTGTCAGAGGCCAGCTCAGTCCCTTGCTCCTGGGGGGCTCTCCCCAGCTGAGCAT